AGACTGGTGGATGCTGAGTATGCACATCAGAAGAAGGACTGTTTGTACTTGCTCCATTTCTCTACTCGAAGAACCCCCTACTCATCACTCACGGTAGGATCGGAGACGGATGGACTTTTAACCTGACTCAGCTTGGCTGTTCTCATGTTTTTAACCGGGCTGACATTGCCTGGAGTGTGTTTGAGTGGAGTCACACAATCAGCTCTGACAGCAGGGCTGTAGAGGTGGCGCAGTGGTTGGGAAAAGGAATAGCTGTTCACAGCTTGCTTTTCATTCATGTCAGCAAAGCTCAGGCCCCAGTGACTGCTTCATATTGAATTGTCTGCCCTAAAATAAAAATACTAAGCAAATCACATAGGCAGTTAAGTCCTGACAGAAGCAATACAAAAGAAAAGGGGAAGGATGGATATGCATACATATATGACAGAATAGGGTGGAGGTAATCCAGAAGATCTCAGAGTTAATATATTGCAAAAGTGTATAATGATAAATAAAATGTAAAGGACACATTTTTTAAAAATATAAATAGAGCTAGTCAATTTATGAATGGTTATATTGTGGAAAGATGAATATCATTCTGAAGAGGATGCAAACACACACGCAAGTGCTAGGGCATTTCTGGGTGCCCTGCCCTTCACAGTGGGATGGAGAAGCACCCACAGCCCTGCTGCTGCTCCTGCAACACCTGGGGAGATGCTGCAGTTACACTCTTCCTACCTCATCGATGCTCTGTCAGCTATTATCTTAATTAGACCCTGTATTCAGGAAAACAGGGACCAGGGCCATGCTGTTACTAATAGCCCTTTGCACAAATAAAGTTACAGAAATTCCATTAGATTTAATGTCAAAGGAATTTGCTGGATGATGCCATGCAGTACAGCTGGGTTTATGCACAGAAATGCAAAGCATCTTGTTTGTGGATGGGATTAACAAGTTCAGAGCATCTACCTGACAGATTTTGATCGGTTCAGATATACCTGTGTATCTATACCACCGGCTAAAGCCTCCAGCCTTAGGCTATTTGCTGCTTTTTATCCTTGTTTTAGCTACCATCTCTAACATATAAGAAACATGTCATGAGCCATGACAAGCAATTGAGATAAATGCCAACCCTTGTAAAGCTTCAGAGGAGAGGCTGCGTTTCTGTTATGTTTCAGCACATTTGTGGAAGCCAGCAGAAGCCAGCAAGGTATAAACAAACACAATTCTAATGCCAAGCACCTACAATTAAAAACAAATTTATCTTCTGCTCCAGTTACTTCTTCAAGACCTTTCACCAAACCAAGGAAGACAGCATTTAATCTATTCATTTCTAAGGTTAAGCTAGAACAATATTAGTGTATTTTTATAAGCCACAGAGAAATGCACAAGCTCATTTCCCCCTCTTGAGCCACCTTTATCATGAAAGCTTTATTCTAATGAAATAAATGTGCCTTCCAGTCAACAGTGTTACTGAAGTCCATCAAAGCTTCAGGAATAGAGACATTAATTTTGCTTTTTTAGTTTTATTTGCAAAGAAGCTAAAAATGCTAAGCTCCCCCTGCATAAGGGCTCTCAAGTACCTCTCTATCAGCTTATGCTTTGCTATCAGAGTAGTGGTATACTTGCAGTACACATCTAAATAAGAAAATGGAGTCTTTTTCCAAGCACAGTTTTTCAGTTTTCAGGTTCTGTATTTTTCCTTCAGCCATCTGTCAGTTTTCTGTGTTTCTCCTATTCTTCTACCCTACAATAAAACCAGAAGAACTTGAGGAAAGGCACTCTCCCACACACTTACTGACTTTTTATTTTCTGGTAGCCAACATTCTCCATCAAGTCAGATCCTGCACGAGCAAGAATTTGATACTCTGCCCTACCCCACAGCAGGCTCAGCTCTTTTTCTTCATTTTCAAAGCATTTCGTCAGTAGATACAGTGTCTAAACCTCTGAAACAGCCATTCTGGCCCAAGAACTGAAATAGTTGTAATTACTACTTCTCATATAGGTATTCTAGGTATCAAACCCAAGCTTCATTTAAACAAAATGAAACTGTTTCAGCCAGGTAACCAAAGGCAATGTTTCCTCACCTCCAAGCATAACTAACCTCCCTAGCTGGACCCTCTTAACCTCTTGCAGAGGGAGCTGTGTTGTTTGGGTGCTTGTATAGCACTTTCCAGGCAAAGTAACCCAGTGATTACTACAACAGCCCTAGACAAGTAATATGAAAGCTTTAATCAGCCAGTTTTTCTAGCACAATTAAATCACTGTGAAGTGCCTCTCTAAGGGCAGAGGTATTTCCAGAAATTAAAGTAATTCAGGAACAAATTACACAGTCCTTGCATTAAGCAAAAATACTCTTTTTTGCTCTTACTGATAGTGCTAACCAGCTATCTAGAGGAAGTATTTTGAAACACTGTAATTTAAAAAACCACCAAGCCATCAAAAACAGTACAGGAACTTCTGCACAACAGCTTCGGCTTTGGGGCTGCCAATCTCTAGGAAAGCTTTTGATTAATGAACCAATTACTCACCGCAGGCAAGTTCCAGCCAGCAGGTTAGGACCATGCCCATTGCCTGTGCACCCCACTCATGAATCCCAGGGCAGGTGAGCCATGTGCCCACATCGTTCACACCAGCCTGGAAGCCACCCAGGGCAGCTGGCCCAATAGCCATGTTCCACTCTTTTCATGCCAAAATAAATGCTTTGTCTGATCTTTGTTGGTTTATTTCCTGGAATTATATGGAGTCTTGAAGAGGGTTAGAAGAACAGTATCTCTGAAAGATACTGTGGTTTTTAGCTCCAGAAGCACTGTGTCTGAAATATGCTTCACTTCACCAGGCACAGCATACCATAGCTTGATTGCTAACAGTAACTGCTCTGCTGTGAATTTAACCATCAGCAATAAAATAAAAAAGCATAATCAACCACCCTAATTTACTCTGCTCCTACTGTAGTAAAGGTATTAACTTAAATTAGACCTTACAGTTATGCCTGATCATGTAGCCATTTTTTAGTCATCCAAGATGAGGCATAAAGAAATGCAAATTTCAACAACAAGCATGTACTAGTTAAACTGACTAAAGAGGTATCTTTTGTTCAGATCTAAACGGATCTTTTAAGTGTTTACATTAATGTATTAGGAAAGACTGGTCAGCACTTCAAAACCCTTTAGGGAGCTTTGTTTATTTAAGGCACTGATTTTTAACTAAAATATTTCTACCTGCTCAGTGTGGGTTGCCATTACACTAGTAAGAAGGAGACTCTAAGAGCTATCCTCCCTTCTCATTTTCATCTCCTGCAGCTCATTCCTAATCCAACCTCTGTCATTTTCTACTGACACAACCATTTATGTAGCTATCCACTGAAAGGAAATGAGAGGCTAATTCAGGTTAAAATCAACTGGTTTGGGGAATGGAGTTTTTATTTATTGCCAGTAGCAGTAGTAGTATTTGCCAACACAACTGCAGAGAAGCAGAGAGTTTTCTTAGAACTGTATAAGCACTAAGTAACAAGGTACACAGCACCATGCTCTTAGCCTATTTTACAACAAAACAAAAGGTTGCCTTGAGCCCTCCCTTAAAATAGCCTGTTTTTCTCTTCACTGAACCAAAGCAGAAGCATTTCCACGTCTAACCATTACAATTCAGGTGAGAGTGGGGTGATACCAGGTAAGAGCAAACAGCTGAGGGGTGTTAACATCGTGAACTACTAGAGAAGTTTAAGAAGCAAAACTATTACACAGAACCAATTTAGGTCTGAATTCACACTTAGATTTGTGTTTAATTTCTGCAGATTAACATTTACAGATGACTGTGGATACAGCCTATGGGTACTTCTATTTCCAGACAAAAATGCATCAAACTGTGTCTAGTTTTGTAATACTTACATTTCCACAAGGAAATATTTGCAGATATGCCAACCACATCTTCTTGGTGCCTCCAGTTTAAGATACCATGTTGTGTGTAGTGTGTGTGTTGTGTGTAATAACTTGTGCTGTACTTGTAAAACGCAGATAGACAAATACAGATATTATGATGCAATATTATTAACAGGTCAGAAAATAGCTCAAAAAGTGAAAGATCTGTGATCTCAATTTCTAGCAAAATCACTGAAGATCACAAGAGATGCTCAGTGAAAATGCTCCCAAAGACCTCAGTGGCTTTGGGAATATGCCAGTAATTTAAGACAACTCCACCTCTGTTTTAGCCTAGAAATACATTCAACTCTCACTTCACCATATGCAGTTTGCCCTTGCCAGATCAACTGTACTACACATGAAGACACCAGAGTTAACCCTGTATAGAGTTAGCTCCCTTGCTTCCACTCCAGCTCAGCAATGCAGATACCTTCTGAAAGTGGCTGTGCTATCAAACCTTGATGGAGCTGAGAAGACCACATATTTCAATGACTTTGTGCTGTATCCTCAGCATTTGCTGTAGATGCTTATACTGTCAGAGAATTTCAACTATCCATTTGCCTTTCCCCACTACCCCTGATAAAACAGACTTGCCTCTACAGTCATATCGTCGCATAGACAAGTCTTCAGGAAACAACACCTTCATGTATGAAGTTGTGCTTTTGCTTTTGCATAAAGAAATACACCTGACTGGGCAGGTAAAACACAGCAAAGATGGCATGAGATACTGGGCCATAAAAGAAAATGTAGGAAAAATTTCAACTTATTTTTCTTAAATGTAAGTCAAATAAAGACATAAGCTTCTTTTATAAAGTGCAAGCTCAGAGACAATAGTGATTTTGGCTAGAAACAGATCCAAGTTCACATTCAACTGTAACACTCTGATTTTATCAGCTAGGTCATTAGATGTGATGAGCTATGGGAAGTGAAGCTTGACAGTAATTGGATTGTGGTATACACACAGATTCTCCAACAAGAGAGGAACGATGTCCGCTATCTTTGCTTCCCCATATTAATAAGACAGCAGTAACAATTCAAGTACTCCAATAAATGACGCAAGGGAACAGCATTACAAAACCCCCTCCAAAGTTCAGTCTGACTCACCTGACTTCCTTGCTTTCAAAGCAATGACAGCAGCCAGTTCTCTCTGTACCTAAAATATCAGGAAAGGAAAGGATGGTTATAGTTATTAGCACAGTCAGACAAAACAAAATACAACACCCATAAGGTACCAGCTATCAATCCTTTGGAGCAGTCAACTGCATGTGAAATTATGCAGGTACTTGGTTTTGAAACTCCAGACAGTTTTCTTAGTAAATCTATTTCCTTTTCAGCTGGGAATTCTGTGGCAACTATTTTTTTTTAACCTTAATTTCATGTAAATACTGCACATTCCTTAGGGAGTGGGCAATTCAGTAGCTTGACCTGTAATTTATTTGCACAGCATATCTCTTTCACAAGCACACACTTGAAGCTTCTTCCTTCCCTTGTTAAATGTTTGCTTTGCCTCTGCTGAGCACACTGTAATGCTGGATTTATGTTGTGAGTCCAGGATAAGCGAGTTCTCCATGCTGAGGTTTGGCTGAGGTTCATGTATATAATTGACATGAGGTTTTTGGAGCTTTCAGGAGGAAACAACCTCTCCTAATAGCATGGCTGAGCATTTCAGGACCAAAATTTAACTTAAGATGAACATGCAGAAGTAAGAGCTATCTGATTTCCAGATTTACAGGCTATCTCACTGTATTATGCATTATCTTTATGCTTCACACTTCCTCGCTGCCATCATCTGTCCCATTGCAGCTTCTTTAATTGCCCTGCACTTAACCTACAGCACCCCAGACACTCTCTCTCTCCTGCATACACCTCAGTTCTTCCCTTCCTCTGCCCAGCCCATGCTCTCAAACTCTTCTGTACACCTCCCAGCTTCTTCCAATTTCCCTCATTTTCCCAAAACAGTCTGTCTTTAGTATTAAAAAAAAAAATGAGACATTCCAACTATTTTTTTAGGGATTGTCTTACCTCTCTGTACAGTCTCCTGCAGTGCATACTAGCCATCTTGTCTAACAGACCTGTGAAAAGCTCAAGGCTATTCTGCAGTGGGAGTTTTGACATCCAGTTTCTGAGAGCATGTGAAATTTAAAACATTATTCACAAGACATGTGGTATGATCAGAATAAGGCACAAAGCCCATAAAGGATCCCTGAAGTAATGCAATTACTGTCAACATCCCACTCTCACAACTCTGAAGAAAAGTTTGAAAATGTGAAACAAGAGCAGTTAACATTATATTGTCCTGGACAGAAAGACAGACAAAATCACCCAGGACATCTCAATACAATGGTAATTTCAACATCCACTGATCAGTGGATACTCAGCAGCCACCCAGCAGCACATTCTACATGTGGCAGAAGGCAGTAGTGCTGGAGGCCACATCCTTCCTCTACCTTCAGCCTTCCTTCCTGTGTGGCAAAGGACCAAGGAGCTTTTTCTGCTGTCCTTGCAAGGTACAAGGGATCTTTTCTACTCCTTGATGCTGCTCCACTGAGAGGGACAGCATTTTCTGCCACTCCAAGCAGGAAAATATGAAGGCAGTGCCACAGTTTCTTAAATGTCGTCCTGTTTCCAGCACAATTGTGCAAACTGGCAGTATAACCTTCCCTTCCTTCCTTCCTGTACACTCATTCCCATGACTGGAGAACTGTTAATCATGGTTAATGTAAGTATAATCTGAAAGTAAGGTGGGAAAGAACAGTTCTTCTCTAGAAAAACAACTTGTGTGCTTGCTTGCTTGCTTGTTTGCAGCAATTAATATACACTAGCAATAGCACATACAAGCTATCCAGAGTTAAAGTGGGATTTTCAATAAAAGCCCAAATTGGTTCTGAATAACAACAGCATGAATTTTCACGGCTAAACTGCTTGGACCCTCTCCCTTCACTAAACTTAACAAGAGGTACCAATGCAGATGCCCCAATCCTGATCTATTCTCACAGGTTAGTGACATTAAGCAACAGTGCACTGATGTCTAATCTTTATCTTTTAGCATTTAATAAATAGATTATCTCAAGTTTAGCCTTAGGAGACACTACAATCTGCAACAGTTGTAAACATACAAATTAACCCAATCAAATAATTGAAAAATGCAAATCTCTCCAAGAGTGTAAAGAAAAAAACATCTTCTTAGAAGAAAAAGCAGCATTGTGACATCCTGCAGTTATATTTGCAGTATTACTTTTGCTTATAAGGTGACACTTCCCAAGTTTGAAAGACAGTACTAACATCACAGGCAATAAAAAGGCTGTTTTTCTTTATTTTGTCTGTTATGCAAAATACCTCATTGCTTGCTGTGTGCCAGGAATAAAGCTGAATTACATAATCTGATCAAAACCCTTCAGTTAAAGCCGGAGAAAAAAAATGTTCTAGTCTTAATATTAAGCAAACATTCCTTCATCAAAGGGTTTCATCTTGATGGTCTGAGCTTCCTCTCATAGGGCTCATTCAAATCACAAAGAATTGGTACTGCTGAGCATCCTTCTGGATTTGTCTGGTGTCCCTAGATTACATATTCTATATGCTTTTGACTATTTTAGCATAAATGCACTTGACACCTCTGCTGGACATGTGGTTCCCTATGCATCATTACACCGATGGAAATCCATGTACAACATTCATTCCTCACTGCACACATACTACTCATTATCATACTTATTCCTAATAGGATTTCAGTTACAACTGTGGTTGCACATCACACTGAAGACAATAATGTGGATTCAAAGTAAAATACCGATTCACACAAGAGCTATTCCTACCACAGAGATATTAAATACAAAAATTTGGTTTATACATATAGCTTGTCACTACAAATCTAACACTACCTAAATAGTATCCCATTTTGAGTAGCACTGCAGATGTCAAAACTGATACAGTTTAAAGGCCAGATGACCACACAGTATTTACAGAAATATTATGAAAGTCTGAAAGAGAATATTTTGAATGTGTTGTTGGCATGTTACCACATCTTAATCAGTTTTCTTTGTGCAGTATGAAAGAGCAAGGGTGTGTATAGAGTGGTACCCACATATACTTCTGCTTGATTAAATACAAGTGGCATATTTATATGGTGAATCTTTTCATCTTCAAATGAGAGATGCAGAGATTTTTTCAAAAGTAAATGACAGCTACTGTTCTTCTCATCCACGAATCTGGACATTTTATCATAGAAGGTATAGTTGTGCAGACAGAGCATACCACCTCTGCTTTCCTCCCCCTCTCTTTTTTCTGCCTGTAGTAGTCTTCTGCAAAACACTTCTAGATGTCAATGTGCCAAATAGGACTTCAGATCTAGAGACAAAGTGGCAATGCTTATAGAATCTCAAAATTAAATCCTGCAACAGAAAGCTCTAAACGGTAGAGTTTTGAAACAGAAAAGAGTCTAGTTCACATTTTTGCATCTCAAGCAATGATAGTTTGATGAAGTCTAAATAAAAGTAGCATTGCCTGATGTCTTAAAGTACCAGAAAACTGTATTTCCCAGATACACTGCATTAACATCCCAATATTCTCTTCTGTCCCATCACGAGGTAAGGTAAGAGTTTTGCAGTGGAATCACTCATAGCCATCCCACTGTGCTGTGGTTTTAGCAGACAAGACATTGAATATGAAGCTGCAATTTGGGGCATGACATGGGATGTGTGACAGCTCTGGAATGCTTCTTTAAACCCAGGCGTAATTATTGCTTTTTCTTAAAAATTCATGACCAAAAGGATTATCCAATGCAAACATATTTCAAATGGCACTTTTCACTGCCTGCATGTCAGCTGCCTTTACAATTTAAGTTTGATGGTATTGTCAGTGCCTCATTGTAATGGAGCATATGACATGAGCATATAATTCGGTAAGCTCCATTCAGTTATCTTGACTGACTCCGCTTTTTCCATCACAGAATAAAGCATAAAGAAAAAGTGAGACCCCCAATAAGTTATTTTATCTTTTATATCTGAGTCTGCTTGTAAAAGAGGTGTATTCTATACATTATGCACAAATTCAGATGATAAAGAAACCTGTGCAGTTTTTTTCCTGCTGCTGTTCTGGCTTGCATCATTCACCACAGCTATCGCTATTATCTTCTACGATCTCCATAACCATTGTTTAAACCCAAGAGTGCATTTCCCTAACTAATCAGTTCTACTGAATCATCAAAAACCCCCAATATTTAAAAAATCACAAATTGTACAGTGACTGTGAAAAGTGGAACTCTACAAGAAAAGCAGCACCTGGTAAGAGGAAAGCAGTATGGAATAAGTAATAAGAGAAAGGCCAACACAGAAGGTCAGGCTACAGTAAAGAAGAAGAGGTGGAGAAGGGAATTCACCAAACTTGTACAGATGCCTTGTGTGCTAGTCACCCCTTCATAGAGAGTGCATACCTTACCAGTCGAGCCTAAAGTAGAGCCTAAAGCATTACCTTTTCTCCCTAAAGTAGACTTTCAAAATGAATCATACATTCAGCATCCTAAAAGTGCCTATTTCTGCTCCCTGGCTGTAAGGAGTGCCTAAGGAAGCTAGCTCAGAGTAGATGCCTGTCATATGGCCACTTATATTTAGGTGAGGTGAGTTCCACCCTCTGCAATAGCAATAGCTTTCACAGAGTTATGGAAATATATAATTAGACCTTACGTGCGTGCATGCTTACAGTTTTTCCTGCACTTTCAGATGCTAAAACAGTGGTTTATATTTTAGGCACACAGAATCCTCCAGTGTTGCTTGGGCTGGATCTTCACAATCAGCTTAGGTTTGAAAATTTGGGAATTTAGTCCCAAAAAAAAGAAAAGCTGACAGAGAAGCATTCTTCTGACCTGACACAGAATGTTTTATTCCATTACAAGAAAAGCAAAAAGAAAAGCAGAAGAGACAGTGGTACTATAAACATTGATGAGATTTGAACCTCTAAACCTAGAAATGTACAAAAAAAGTCAACTCTAATATCTGACTGCTTTATTGCTATGCTGGAAGTAAGGTTTTTGGTAGGGTTTTTTTAACTTCTGAAAGACTAGATGGAAGAGTATAGTGAAAAGGATTCTGAATTATGAATTATTAAAGGAAGATTGGTTTGATGCTGTACAAAATAGGTAAACATTCAGTGAGCCAAAAAGCAAGACAGTGCGAACACATTTTCATTTGTGGCTAGTAACTTCCCTTTTGGTTTCCAGCTCCTATTCACAGGATTCTCTTTTTCCATACAAATTCTGAAGTTGGCAGGAAAAAAAACAAATTGAGAACCTGTATCCTGGTGAGTCTGGCACTCTGCTGAGTGGTGCAAGATGAGGGTTCAAGTTCCCTTGGGACACATAAAGACTCTCCATAAACTTGCAGTGAGTACTTTAGATCCCAGTCTACCGTATGGAGGAAAAGCAATGCTCTGGAGGGATAAAATGGAGAAGTTCATATACAGATGCTTATATTTGGAGGATTCTGCTCTGGTCTTATGTCTTTTCTCCAGGGTTAGACTAGAAAATCTGCACAGTTTTGTGGAAAATCAGAAAATGTAAAAGAAAAGATCAGTCCTTTTGACACCACCATGGCAATAGATGAGCCTCAGGCCTTCTGGAGATGCATCTGTGTACGTTTTCTTTAGCTATTTAGCTACAGCAATAAAATGGTTCATTTAAAAAAAACCCTACCCATGTGCCTTGCTGCGGGAATCATTCAGGATGTAGTTCAGAGCTTTGACCTTGCAAGCTAGATGTGAAGCATTCTGAATTCTCCGTCAATTGCTAACACGTTTAAGGATATGCATTAAATTTGAGTGTATCCAGCAACAGTTAGATCCAGATCTTAAACTCAGAAAGTCACTTTGGTTGAGTGCTTCTCTTTTTTTAACTGATGAGAAACATTATTCTTCTCTTTCTGAGAGATAAAGCTTTTGAGGGATACTGGCAATGTTTTATAGAGTTGGTAGTTTTGTGGGGTTTTGAAAAGATATGACTTTGTAAAAAGTATTTTATGTTTTTCTATTTTTTCTCCCTATGAAACTAGGAATGGAGGATATTGAGGTTGTGAGTTCCTTTATTTTCAGCTAGGAAAAAATGGTAGCAAAACCAAGGAATTTGAATATAGAGAAAATAAAAAATAAAAAACAATTTTTAAAAATTAAATTTTCTATTGTTATATATTTCACATTATTTTTTGTATAAGCGTACAGAACCACTGGCTTTCTAAACACATTATAAAATATCTTTTGTAAAGACATTTGGCTTTACAAATTCTCCTTTCCTTCAATTTTTCAGCAATTTCAAGATAGTACTTCATTCATTTTACTTAAAATCTTATCCTCATGCCTTTTTCATGACAACTTCACCCTGCTTGGTTCTCTTTCATCTCTGTACTTTTTTATGTACCCAAAACAGAACTAGCACTATTTCCATGTTTTGCTGATACCATGATTTAGGTGTGATGTTCACAGAACCATACAATCACAGAATGGTTGAGGTAGGAAGGCACCTCTGGAGGTCATCTGACCCAAACCCTTGCTCAAAAGCAGGGTCAGCTAGGCTAAGTTGCTCAGGACCATATCTTATTGAGTTCTGAACATCTCCAAGGATGGAGACTCCACTACCTTTCTGAGTTACCTCACAGTAGACAAGTTTTTTCTTACATTTAAGTAGAATTTCTTGAATTTCAGTTTGTGCCTCTGCTTCTTGTCCTGTCAGAAGACATCACCAAGAAGAGCCTGGCTCCAACTTCTTTATACCCTTCCATCAGCTATTTATACACATTGATAAGATCCTCCCATAGCCTTCTGTTCCCCAAGCTCAACCCCCAGTTCTCTCAGCCTTTCCTTGTAAGTCAGATACTCTACTCCCCTGATCATCTTCATGATCATTAGCATACACTCCAGTACGTCCACACGTCTCTTGTACTGGGAGTTCAGAACTGGGCACAATGCTCCAGAAGTGTCACACCAAAGCTGAGCAGAGGGGAATGATCACCTCCCTTAGTCTGAAGGTAATGCTCATACTAATGCAGCTCAGGAGGCAGTTGGCTTTCCTTGTCACAAGGGCACATTTCTGACTCATGTTCAACCAGCTGTCCATCAGGACTCCCAGGTCCTTTTCTGCAGAGCTGCTTTTCAGACTGTCAGCCCCCAGCCTGTACAGGAAGGAGCATGAGGTTATTTCTTCCAGATGCAGGACATGGCATTGCCCTTTGCTGAACTTCACAAGATTCCTGTTGGCCCATCTCTCCAGCCTGTTGAGGTCCCTCTAAATGGCAGCACACCCATCTGGTGTATTGACCATTCCTTCCAGTTTTGCATCACCTGCAAACTTGCTGAGGGTGCACTCTGTACCATCATACAGATTACATTAGATCGAGTGAATCTAGCCTAACCTTCTGAAGTCTTTCTGTCTGCTTCTTAGAACAATGATTTTACAACAAGATAAACAAGATGCGCCAAATTCTAGCACAAACAGGATAAGCTGTTGTTTATTATGATGGACTTTATTGAGGCTAAACAGAGGTAGAAAGACAGATACCCAGGCTTCCCAGGTAGGTCTCCTCAGAAGCTTATGATAACCTATGCTGAGGCCATTCCTCTCCCTTTGTCTCCCACCCCATCATTGCCTTCACACCGACGTCCACTTGACCAAGAGGACCTGAGTGTAAGCTACCTGGAGAAAAAGCACCATGACCCTTCAAATTGGTATCTTCTAAGCCATGAACAGCATGGATTACAAGAGAGCAGACTGCAGCAGTCCTTGTTTAGACTGATTTTAATAGCTTTGGACTTGCACACTAAGACCTCAGTAAAGCTCCCTCCTTTCAGAGACAAAAAAGTAGTTTGCATTACAAACACCTGCTCACTAAGACTAAGTCTTTAATTTGAAAAGATCCAAAACATGACAGTATTTCAAACAAGATCAGTACAAACTTTGATGAAGTGACCTTACCGCAGAAGTGAGACGAGCAAGAATTTCAGCATTGGTTTCTGCCGTATCTTCCATTTTTTGATCAGGCCTTAAAAAAACAAAAATAAGATTTTATTATTTCTTTCATTCTGTTTCAACATCTTTTGATTCCTGGAAAGCAAGGAACTGTGTAGCCACAAGCACTAATGTAAAAAGGCTTTTGAGATTCCACATCAAAATGATGACTGCAACATGACAATAATTTATTGTGTCAGTAATGACAGAGTACACCCTTTGTCCCTTGCTGTCAAGAACTCTTTTGATTGGACTAACATAAAACAGTGAGAGAATTCTTCAGCTATAAAAAATATGATGAAGAACAGAAGAATACAGGACCCTCTTAGCTCAGAGTTCTTATCCGAATGCACATTCTGCTCTGCTAAAAACATACTCCATCAACAGAGCAAAGACTTTCCCATCTGCCCACCACGCATCTTTACTAAGGTGTAGAACAACACCTATGGAATGCAAGCTCACATAGATAAAAGCAGACAACATCAAAATCATTATGTGACACATGGTTTGATATTAAAAAGAACCCTGAATATGAAAAGGATACATGTAAGAAGCTATAAATTAGCAAATTAAAGCAACAGCTGAGAACACTATTAGGTTGTCTTGACAGTTACTCACAAGACAGAGAGACTTAACATGTCTTTGTGAAAGTGAGGCAGTGCAGGAAGAACTTTCCTAGAAACTGTCACAAAAGTCTAGCCCACGTGGAAAAAGCCACACAAAAGCTGCTGTGGACAGCATGGGATAGGACTGTGTTTTTCTTTAAAGCAGTCTAATTCCCATCACTAAAACACCTGTGAGCTTTTGGAACGTTTATTGACAATCAGATACCAATATGATAGGGTTATTACTATAGGAAGAAGAAAGAAAATGCCCTTGAGATCTTTACTTCTCATGGTATTCAAGTGTGGCATGCCAGCAAACTGAGCCAATAGCCAAAACTGCAGCTGGTGTAATAAACGTAAATCCCATGTATGAGCAGAAGCTTCTATCTTTGACTAAATTATTTAATCGCTCATATGCCTTGATGTGTTTAAGGAGAGAGCTGACAACATGTCTGGAATACACAGCTGGTATACTGTGATTCTCACTCTCCATGTCCAAAATATTTTTTCCCTGATTAAGAAATTAAGGTCAGAAAGCACACATGCATTCAATTTGGGGCAAGCATATTCAGACCAAAATGGTAATTCAGATTAGAAATCACAATTATTTTTACAACTGCTTTTCCTATTGAAAGAAAAACTTGATTTAACATTGTAAGTGTTATAAACAGCCCAAAAGACCTAAATGAATGAAGTTTCATTTACAAAGACTGATTTATTCAGTCTTTATAATCTGGAATGAGATTAAAATAACTGACCTCTTTAGATGCCTGTTTCCCTACACATGTGATCTCATCTCTCAGAGCCAGGCTAGGACCTGATTCTTCTAAACTGAAGCCAAAAGATAGCAGCTCAGTAGACACAGCCACAGATGCAATCTGTAAACCCAGAACAGCATATAGCATAGCTATGTCCATCTTGGGCCTTTATCACTACATCTTCTATTAAAAAATACTCCCAGTATTCATCTGCATATGAGCATCAAATACCTCTGAAACCATTAATATACTAAAAATTATAGTCAGGTCTCCAGAATCGGAGAGGAAGAGTGTATTATGATACCCAGATTAATAGAAGACAGACAGACAGAATGGATACTGAGGAACAGAATCAGGACAGATTATCACCTTAGTTTTTTTTCAAAAGGGGCCAGATAAGGCCTAGCAAGGGCTAGTGCCAAACAGGAGCTACAAAACCCAGGCAAACAAGCCTAATGCTTACACAGCTCAGTGCTCTGTGGGCTTGGTAGGGTGTTAAGCAGAGCAGGATGCAGGGATGCTTGCCCTAGATCTGCATGCAGGCAAGTCAAGTCCAGCACAACTATTACTGTAGACCTCACAAAAGCAACTTCAGTGCTTCCCGACCCACTGATGGAGGAAGCAATACGGATACACCCATAGTCCTGGGTCTGGACCTCAACTGTACGATGTAAAGGCACTACATATGTCTCTATGCTGGCTTTACAATCCAATAAAATACCCATGGACACCTAAGAGCTGTTTATATTCAGGAAAAGCTTTCCAGGAACTCCATAAGGTAGTAACTAAATGAATATCCCATCCTGGCTATTTGAGTTAAAAACAAATTACTTTTAAGAATGGTTACTTTTTGAAATTAATAAAATGTAAATTATTTCAGGACAGAAGATACAGAATATAGTGTAACACTTCTGAAAAGAAAATAACAGGCAATATGAGATAAAGAAAAAAAAATCCCTTGTTAACTTACCTTCAAATAATTTTAAAAAAAATATTATGGGATATATTTCAATAGTCTGAGATACCCAGTGCATTCTTGAAATCTTAATTGAGTCTACCAGTGGTTCTGAAAATTAGGTGTTGTTATAAACACTGCCATTTACAACGAAGGAAATAGAAGCACACAAAGATTAAACCCCTGATACAAAGCCACTGCAGTCAGTAGAAAAGAATTCAGGAGGCATTGGGTGAGCACCTAAGTGATTGCTCAAGGCTGTAAGGAAGTCCACGGCAGAGCTTTCAGTTCAGATCTTTTGTTCCCAGTCTGTTGCAATATTCACTTATTTTCTATTCAAGTAGAATTGGCTGTGATTAATATAGGGTGTTTAATGACCCCAAGAGGCCTCTGCATCAGTCCCATCTCATTTGACAACAGTTACAGGGGACCAGTCCTGCAGAATACACATAACAACAGTAGCCTTCAGTTTAGTGTTAGCTGCTAAAAATCCACTATGTCCTGGTCTTCCATGTTAGATTCCCACCAATGTTATGTTTAATGTAGGGAATTATCCAAGGTCAAAAGGCAACAGAGAGCATTTACTCAGGAACCATAAGCACATCTCCAGCTTCAGAATGCTATTTACATTGTAGAACTCTCTGTAGTATTACTTGGTAACACTGCTAATACTGACCAAACCCAAACACAAATCCATCAAAAATCTGTACAGCAAGTCAAGACTGGGCCACATTTATGTAATATGTTTTCCAGGAGAGCTGCTGAAGGAAGTTCCCAGAGCTGGTACTGCCTATTCAAGTCTACAGACTCCTTCTGGGACAGCAGACCTATGGTGCTCCACAAGAGACCCACTGATGCACCCAGAAGTCCGGGCAAGTGCAAGGCTGGTGCCCATCAGTTGTGGAGGAGACAGAGCTTGTCTGGTGCCTGGAACCACCAGGAAATGTCCAACATTGCCTTCCAGTGCACAAGCAGGTAGTTGCTTCTGATTTCATCAAAAGCAGGGAATCTAATAAGGTAAGAATTTCTCTATCCCTATGTACATACAGAATTAATGCCATCAGTACAGATTATGAGAAAAACTAAGGCAGAGAAATGAATACAAAAATATTAAATTACAAAAAAGACTACGCTTTTAATGGTATGTAAAACAGCTTACATATTTGAGAAAAGGCAAACACTGCAAGGAATAGTTTTCAGAATTGCCCTGTTTGTTCATTAAAAGAGTATATGGGTTTATTTAACCTAGTCAGACAACTTTAACAAACACCCCACCACATCTATTCCCTTTCAGACTGGGTTTTAGAAGTGTATTATTTGCATCAAGTATGAAGAATTTTGAACCTGGAAAAGCCTCCTTTCCCTTTAATATCACATTCCCTCGAGAGTATGCCATTATTTAAAATTTGATTCCTTCAATATATATTTTTTTTAAAAGCACCCTCATAATCTGACAGGTAAAATCTCCAGAAAATAATCCTTCAGTGACAATGTTCCCAAAAGGAATCCAACTTCAACTAAAATTTGAATAATGTGAGCAGGAAGGAGCTAGAGAAATACATTAAAGAATAATTGTTCAATTCATGTGACAGGAATCATCCTCCATTAGAAGTGACAGTTGCACTGGAATGTTAAAACTGCAAAGCAGACTGTAAAATAGTGGTATTCTCTGGCCAAAGTCAGCATGCAGGACACATTTTAACTTAAACCTAAAAAGTCTTCAATCCATTTTTCCACCTAGCATCCTTCACATAACACATCAGTATGACCTATCTGTTCTTTTTGATTCAAAGCCTTTGTACAACTAGTCATTAACCATGAAAAGTGACCTCATTTTCAGTGATAATGAGGAAAACCTGAATTTCCACTGAAATCAAGATGAAATTACCCTAATATCTAAGGGACAGCCAAACTGCTTAGCACCAGAGTAGGCTGGAAGACAAGAATTTCTATTCACAAAAATATTCAAAGGTTTTCTCCCATATGAGTCATCTGCTTAGAAGATTGCATTTGGTCCCCTGCTGTAGCCAATTTGGGGTCCTTGTCACTTGGCTACACTCAGCCAAGCTGACCAAATAAATGCATTTTCAACGGAATCCCCACTCCAGAACTGACAAGTTCTGGTGGGTGAGGGCAGTCAGCAACAGAGGAAGGAATCAAGTTTCTGCCCTGAGCCATGCAGAGAAATTACTGAGATTTTTTTTTTTCTACCAGCTCAATGTGTCTTAATTTAAGAAGCTGGGCTTGAGACAGCTTACAGGAACTTTGGGCTTTGTGCCCCTTTCAAATATTTCCATTGGACATTTGAGGAATGTGTTTTTAAAATGTAGTATGTAGAGAAGGAAAGTACTTAGAGAAGAAAGTTTTGTCTTTGACATCAAAGAGAAAAAATCCTAGTACTGGAAGAGTAATAGTTCTCCACAGTGTATCAGGTTCGAGGATTCATCATGCTAGGGACAATGAAAGAATTTAACCCAACTTGTCTATCCAAGCCAGCTCCTGCAGGTTTGCTAAGGCATGAGGGGTCATGAGCCTGCAGACCTCTCACACCTTTTTCCTATATTTTGGCCTCTCACTGTGGCACACAAATAACTATGGTTTCCTTCTAGCTGCTTTAAATAGGCAACATTTAGAGCACAGCTGTATCAGCACTAAGGATATGGTAACATCCAATAGTCAAGTGAAAGATGAGACATGTAGGAAGCAAAACTCTTAAGAAGCATATTCTGAAAAAGGAATAATAATGTGAGACTACAGAGCTCTGGCAAACATGCAGTAGCAAACTAAAATCAGATGACTGGAGCTACCATGTTTCTACACACCTTCTCTATCCATCTGATAGCTGATCCTGACACAGCACAAGGGCATCTGATCTACTAGTCAATCAGCTCCACAGCATGCCTGCTGTCAAATTCATGCCAAACCTCCAAATGTAAGAGGAAACCAAAATAAAATAAAGCCATTTGCCCAGGTACTATAGCAAGCTAGAGTCAGCAAACTAGTGCATAAGAACCACAATATGCCAAAAACCCCAGGTCAAATACCTTCATTTATCTAGTCACACTGACTTTCTCAGATGAAAAGCCTATCTACAAAGCTTGACAATGCTGAAAAGAAAGCTGACTCATTTACACTGTGGTTTGAGGGTAAATAGTGTCATTATAAACCATCCACTTACAAAACAGTCAGCAAAAGTTACAAACAGCTGTACACGCACACTTACAGATTACACATGTCAATCCTGGGAGGAGACAATGGCAGTAGTTGAAGTAGGAGCTTCACTCCATTCTTCCATCCTTCCTCTTTCTCAAATTCACAGAAAAGGTAGGTACATTCATCTGCTGAGAACTGGTAGAAAGCATGAGTGTCTTGAAAATAGAGTTGTCTGTCCACTGTTAGGAAAAATAACATTAGATAGCTTTTAAACATTTACCATGTAAAGGTTCTGTGTCCCCACCACACCCCATATTGCATTTTAATGCCGAGTTACACCACCACTCAGGGCAAAAGGATCGCAAAATCAGCACAGAAGCAATCCTGCTCTCTCATACTAACTCAGAACTCAGAGCATCTAAACAGAACAACCCCAAAACTTCAATTTGAAGATATCCAGGGTCCTGAAATTCAAGCATTAAGACTGCTGAGTACTTAATCAATTTTGGAATCAGTTCAGAATTAGGGGATAAAAACCTTCCACTTGTCAGATCTGTGAGCCTCAATTTCCATTGGCCTCTAATCTGTTCCCACTAATGGCCAGACACAAGTAAACAGTTTAGTAATGGAGATGCAGCCCACCATTACCCCAGTTTCTCAAATTCAGGGCTACTGGATTTGTAGACTAGACCTGGGTAAGATGATGTGCCAGTACAACAGCTGTCATTTCCCCTGGCATAACCAGGATTGACCTGGGATAGAAGGACAGGGTCCAAAGCCAAAAGCACAAGCTCCTGAAGTGAAAGTCACTGCACCCTTATTGAGGCTGCGTGATCAGACATACTATCAGTGTAGCTGGAGCAGAAGAAAACCTTTAAGTATAATGTCAGCATACATAAGCAGAAATCTTCCATAACACCTCGCCTTTTCACAAGGAAGAAAGTTTAGCACAGACCTCAGGGTCGGGTACGCTCTGAGTCGAGCTAAGTAGTCCCAGCTAAGAAGTAAGTCATCAGATTTCGAGGTTGGTTCCAGTGTAATTATCACCAACCACATTAGCTGGACCAACCCCTAAATTTGGTGGGGAAGGTGGGGACAGCCAGATAGAACCTGGCATCACCACCATCTCAAGGAGCTGAATCCTCTCTCAATACATTGTAATCTAAAACTATGAAAAAGAGAGAGAGGAAAGGAAAATCACTAATAGCGAGAGAAGTCATGATCTGCAGTGACTCAACAGCTGCTGTTTTGTGAAAAACCCAAAAAAAGCTCGAGGAGAATAAAAAACAGCCTGGAAAAGACACGCATGCCATTTGCTACTTGGTAATAGGCAGTTACATTTGCAAAAGCAAAAGGAAGGAAATTGCCTAAAAAAAGAAATTAATCTTTGGTATTTACGAAATGAGAGGTCACAGAGGTAAGCCTACCAAAGAGATAGTAAAATAAACAACTGTCAAGAAAAATGGATCAATCTGCTTTTTTTTTTTTTCCTTCCTTCCTCTCCCATCAAAAACTTACCCTATGCAGGAGAAACTGATAGTACTTCTAGCATGAAGAAGGCTATCAAGACTAACCTGATAATATAATGCCCATATCCAGGAGGAGCTGCCACACTCCAACAGCTGTAGATCTGCACTTAACAAAAGGGCACTGCTCCAAAAGCCAGTCTACCAGTTCTGATCCAACACAGCTTCTCCTGAAAATAAGCAAAACATCACTTCTTACACTAAAGTAATGTTAAAATGCTCTTTTTTAAAGCTATTAAAAGCGAATCCTTCTGTTCAGGGCCAACACTTAGTCTCAATTACTAATTTTTGTAATTCTATCCATTGCAAGGGAAGAACAAATTATTCTGGCAAGTCTCCCCTCGTTACGAGGGAACTCGTGTTATATGAGTAAGTTCTGTTATGTACCTAATTCATGTGGAACCCTTTACAATATGTAATATTTTTATCAATTTGTGCTGCACACAGTCATCCAAAGATGTATAAGAGCTAAATAAACCCCAACTTTTAGTCTCAGAATTTTATTTCCTTTCTGAGCATAGGCATAAGCAATACTGCTACATGATATATGTGTAAGACATAGAGTGCTGCCCTAGGATGTACTTCATCTTTTACATTATTGGTAAACTTATCTTTTTAAATCATAACAACAAAAAAAAAGTAGTGGCTTTTTCTTAAATATGGATATGAATGAAAGTGCTAGAGACCTACACATTTTGGCATAATTGGAAATAAGAAACATTAATGCTGTAATGCAGCAGAAATGGAAAATCACTTCATTACCAAAATATTACATAAATTACATGCAGAAGTCACTGTGTAAATAAATCTTAGTAATCCAATTGATCTCTTCTGTAACTCCAGACCAGGGCTAAATTCAGTACTCTTTCTTTTCAACAAAATAACAAACACAATTGTATATGAAATCATGAGCAATTAAATTAATGGACATAGAATCAGACCACTGCTGCTTTCTGACAACTGACAAAGATATTAAAATACATGAGATTTTAAAGAATATTTTCAATTCCTAGTAAACACACACAAAATCTCACTCTCAGAATTTACTCTCTTGCCAAATCAGCACATGGGCAAATGCAAATAAAACCCATCCAGTTGATTAAAATGAATGATCTTGGGTTACCTGCAAATGCCAGTAAGGTACACCCTGTCTTTTATCAGGTCAGACGCTTGTAGAGTAAAAATATTCCTGAGAGCTCTCCCAGCACAGGAAGAACTTTCTCCATAAATCTGAATGAAAAGAGAAATTGAAAACTGTGACAAACAGGGATTTATTCCTTCTGTAGTAAATTGCCTTGCCAGTGTCTGCTCCCTCCCTCTGAGCAATGCCTTCTCCCCAGCTAAGCCAGCAGTCAAAGCCTCGGAGGAAATGCACCCACACTTCTGCCATACCCTCTTGTATCATGGGTTGCAGATGGCCCAGTGAGCTGGACTACTTTTACATTTGCTGCCTTAGAAAAGCAGAGGTTTTACTGTCTGTCAGTTTTACCTCTGAACAACAGACAAGTTCAAATGAAACCAAGTGTTACTCTAGAGAAGCAAAAAGACTGTATTAACCATTGCAAAACCCACATAAATACAGTTAAAATTATACATTATTCCATACGTATCTGAATCAAATAATTTAATACAAGCCTAATACATACTGAAACACCATTTTATAGGTTTTTTTCTTTTTGGTCAGAAACTCTGAAGGTATCCTACGATAGCTACGGGTCAGTTTATCCATACCTTGCCAGAAGGATGCGGTCTTTCAGAATGGACACAACTCTGACTTCACCCACACCTGATTTCTATCTTACAACTCAAGGCTGCAGATGTGTCTATCAAAACAGAACCCAACTCCATCTTCCATAAAACCATGTTCCACCTGGAATCTGTATACCACTCCTTACTGATGAATTCAACTCAGGCTTCTGTTGTGATGTTTCCTCACCATTCCAGCAAAACACATCAGGAACACAAATAACTAACTTGAAAGAAAACCAATGCTGCGGTTTCACCTTTTGTTTTCTTTCCTATGTTTCAAGGAATATAAAATAGTCCTGAGACAGTAAAGTCCTGTGAGACGCAAAATCAGAGCTCTCAAATATTGCAAAAGTAAGCTAAACGGTAGCAAATGTTTAAATGTTTGGGAAGAGAGGGCACATCAGAATTCACAACAATTCAGTTTGCAAATTCAGTAATAGAAGTAGACAAATTCTAACACACCCAAATTATAAATTGTTAACTGGATTTAACTGCAGGCCACACTCACAAGTGTTTTCAAAGCTATGGCTAAGAGATTGAACCAAAGCAAAAAGATTCCTAATATGTTGTTTCGTGAAATGGAATTGTAAAGAAGCTTGACAAGTACCTTGTTTGAAGGAGTTTCCAAATACGGATTTGAAATTCTTCTGGACAGGGTCTGAAAGACAATTTGGTAGAGCTTTAGGTTTTTCCTGGGTTTTGTATGGAAAAAAAGTAGCAGCAATCTAAGCCTTTTAGCTATAAAATCTAAATTAAAATAATCTATCAAATCATGTGAGTAGTCTTATTGAAGTCTCCAAATAATATTTTTTTCACGTCAAGATCTATGTTGTTTATGTTGTTTACTACATTTATTCTTGATCTGGTAAAGCAGATGAGCAATGAGGTGGCAAAGTCTGTAGACAACACACAACTATTTGGGTCACGAAAGACCAGAAATGGAAGTGAAGAATTTTAGGATAAACCTAAAAGAAGCTGGGCGAAAAGACAGTATCATGATGAGCTCAACATTAAAAGCACCATGTAGTAGAGGGAGAAAATGTAATTACACCTACTCTAATACCTCTTAAAGCAAACTTTATCAATTCAGTAAAGACACCTCAGGGTCACAGAACACTTCTCAAGGAAGACCACTCTTCTGAATTAAATTCTTAACTGTAGTTAAAAAAAAAAATATTGGGATAAATGAGGAAAGAAATTGTGACCAGTGGGGAGGTAACATTGCTCTAATGTAATTCAGCATTATCTCTGCCATGCCACATGCTGCACTGGTAACAGCATCTCAAAAAATGGATGCTCCAATGTTAGAGGGGATTCAGACAATAATAGTAGTAGGAATAATAAAGGAATTGGATAAATTTCAATATGAGAAGAGACAGAAAAGATTTACCTTACAAAGGAGAGATTACAGGGGACATAATGCAATTATACAAAATAATGAAATGGCACAGAGAAAAGACAGACTTTCTGTGCTGTTTCATGTAATATGAGAATAATGGGTAACTCAATGAAATTAAAGAGGATTCATGTTTGAGGAGATAGAAAGGAAAATGACACATAACTCTTCACAGCAGGGAAATGCAAATGCCAAAATGTTACCAATTAGGGATTTAAAGTTATAAAATTAACAGTGAACCAGAACTCTGGAAGGCAAACAGAGGCAGGATAAACATCTCTGTGAGAGTCAGGTTACCCCACCTTTACTCACCATGATATTTCCATATCTTGTTAGTGTTAAAAGACAAGATATTGTCTAATCTGATGCTTACTGGCAACTTCTGTCCTACTACAAGCCACACAAGACACAAATAAACATTGCCTAAAAGAAGCCTGGAAGTGGAACAGAAGACATGCAGGTGCACTGGCAGCACAATGGGAGGATTGTGTGGTGCTCACTCACATTATTCCAACTTGTAGGCAGCATAATTAATTCCTCGCTTTGAGAAGGATTCAATTCACACTCGGTATATTGTAATCATTTAAAAAAAAAAAAATCGTCCTTCACACCCTGTAAGAGTTACAGAATCCATAATTCCGTAATGTCACCTGCTTTTTTTCCTCTTATATTCTTGTCACTGTATTTTTGGAAAGGGAAGGGAAGCAACAAGGAACCACAGAAGCATCTAATGCTGTTTACTCTTCCAAGCTCATCACAAATGTTAGCATAGTTCCACACATAACAGTAGCCCCATATGGAAATACTATAACATAAATTCCCGTCTCCAATACCCAACAAAAATGCCATAAGACTGCAACACTGCCCCAGATCCCACATATTCTTCCTAGCCAGCACATCGTTAGCACTTTCTTTCTGCAGTAGCCCTACATACCACCACTTCACTTGGTTTCTGTCCAAGTCTTTCATTCAACAAGCCTCACTCACTGCAGCAGCACGGTCAAAGTTTATACATTGTTTTCCTCCTCCCCTGCTCCGTTCCCAGGCTGGCGCTAACAACATTATCATCAGCAAGCTAATTCCAGTGATGCCTATGGGAACTACAGCTCCTAGCACTGCACTGGCTTGGTCCCTGCAGGGTGCAGTTACATGACAGCATAAGAACGAACTCAGCAAGAAGGACAAATATAGTGGCCTTCTATGACAGGGTTACAGCATTGGTGGATAAGGGAAGAGCAACTGATGTCATCTACCTGGACTTGTGTAAAGCATTTGACACTGGTCTTGCATGACATCCTTGTCTCTAAACTGGAGACACATGGATTTGACAGGTGGACCATTCGGGGGATAAGGAATTAGCTGAATGGTCACACTCAAAGAGTCCAGGTGGAAACCAGTGACAAGTGACATCCTTCAGAGGTCCAGGACCAGTATTATTTAACATCTTTGTCAGGGACATGGACAGTGGGATTGAGTGCACCCTCAGCAAGTTTGCCAACAACACCAAGCTGTGTGGTGCAGTCAAAACACTGGAGGGAAGGGATGTGCCATCCAGAGGGACCTGGACAGGCTGGAGAGGTGGGACCGTGTGAACCTCATGAAGTTCAACAAGGCCAAGTGCAAGGTCCTGCACAAGGGTCAGGGCAATCCCAAGCACAAATACAGGCTGGGCGATGAGTGGATTGGGAGCAGCCCTGCGGAGAAGGATTTGGGGGTATTAGTGGATGGAAAACTGACTATGAGCCAGCAATGTATCCTGGGCTCATCAAGAGAAGTGTGACCCCACCAGGAGTCCTGTGTCCAGGTGTGAGGCCCCCAGCATAAGAAAGAAGGATATGGACCTGCTTGAGCAGGTCCAGAGGAGGCCACAAAGATGATCAGGGGGCTGGAAAATCTTCCCTGTGAGGACAAACTGAGAGAGTTGGGGTTGTTCAGCCTGGAGAAGAGAAGGCTCCAGGAAGACCTGATAGCGGCCTTCCAGTACTTAAAGGGGCTGCAGGAGAGATGGGGAGGGACTCTGCATCAGGGAGGGTAGGGATAGGATGAGGGGTAAAGTTTAAACTGAAAGAGGGCAGGTTTAGATTAGATATAAGGAAGAAATTGCAAGGACTCTGCAAAAGGTCACTAAGGCTGAAAACTAGTAGAGAAAAAAAAATATTTCTAATTTATCCTTCAAACCACACAGTGCTAGCTCTGGCGCAGGGAAGAGAGAAGGAAATCACAGCCCTGAAATAGGAGAAGGGAAGACAGGATAGTAGCTCCTGTTAGTAGCAGCCTGAACCCGTATCAGCTTGGAGCAAGCATAAAACATTGGAGAGCCCAGAAGAGTACATTTAGCCTGCTATGCAGGAATCTACACACACAAAATCTCTGCAAATACAAGAAATGGAAATGAATAGGAGAACATAAAACAGAAGTGGAAGTGGCATTCTGGAATAGAAAAAAATATCTTTCCTGTTGATGCTAGTGCAGCCTGTGTTGAAACACAGCATAATGTTGAAACACCCACTGCAGTTAGGCTGAAATTCACATCAGATTTTAAGAGTTTATGTCTGAGCTACCAAGCTACATCCCCTTTTCGTTTCCTTTTTTTATTTTTGTTTTTTAACTTGCCTCAATAAATATTGAGGGTACCTCTGTTCAGCAGACTCTACTTTGGCTGTTGGGAACAAACTGGGCAGTCCCGTTCAAGAGAGAGACAGAGAGGGATGATCGGGGATCCAGGCTTTGGGCCTTTGGGCCGCTGTTTGGGGGAAGCACCACTCCTCCCTGAAGGTATTTGGCAAATACAGGCTGCTCCTCCCAAATGATTTTGACACACACACACCAATTTGAAATACATTTGCAAATGACTTTTAGAATGAGCCAAAATGTGCTTTTAAAACAAATTCATTAGTCATCAAGCAAACAACTCATCTTTCATGCAAACTACCTTGGAACAGCTATTGCTGCCTATGCCAAGTGCCGTTTTCCAGGCATTGCCACTCCAGTGTCCCCCTGTGCCTCTTCACCAGCTTCAGGAGAAGATTTGCCAAACCATGTGTTGGGGAGGACATGGGGATGTGGCAGCACACATGGTCCTCAGACAGGAGACCATACGAGGAGCAGATCCAGAGTGCTAAGTGTCTTCCTCCCATCCTACAGGAGCAGGTGTGCATAGGTGGCTTCAGCCTTCCTGACGGGGATGCAGGAAGAGAGAGGCAGGGAGCTGGTGCTTTGATCTGGGCGATCAGGAATGTGAATTATGAACACAGCACGGGGTTGGCAACCTAGCTTGAGGACACGACTTGCATGTGACAAGTGAGGAAAGTTGGGACAGGTGGCCCAGGAGAAGGTTATGGAATAGGACTGCTAAGATTCAAATCCGAATACACCACAGATAATTTAGTGTGAATTTGGGAAAAATTATAAAGGAGTTCACTGTGGTATTTAAAACCATTAGTAGTGCAGGGAGTAGAGCAACGGTGTTAAAAGAATGGGAGGATTAGAATAAAGTGACCAGTAAGTAATTTAAAACAACCAGAAGGAAATAATTCTTTACAATCTATATGACTGGGTCATGGAATTATTAGCCAAAGAATCAATTATTCCAGCTAGAATTTTAAAAGCAGTAGCTAACTCAGACCGATACTATTATGCAAGGTCTATATCTGGGTTTAAGTTAGTATTGCTTCAACTGGTCAATTACTTTTAAATAAGTTGAGAAACTCTGCCATTATTTAAAGCTAAGCATGCAAAGATATTGGTGATAGTATTTTGATATATGAGCACAAATTGATTTTGTAAAGCTTTGGAAAGAAATTCCCCCATGACATACTAGACAACAAGCAAAGTGTACTAATGAGGGCACATTTTGGTCTCCATTGGAAAGGTCAAGCTGTATCTTACCACAGGATGCTGACTTAGTTCTTTACTCAGCAGAGTATTGAACTGGCTCCACTATAGCAACTCGCTATGCATTTACTACAACCTGGTTAATGTTCTAATGAAGGTCTAAAGATACCACAGAGCATGTTTTCAGTCATACTTTTTGGAGAAACATTTGAATTTTCTCCTCATTTTTAGATCTGGGATTTTGCTTTGGCCTCATCTCAACTTCAGAGGATGACTTGCCTACAAGTTGCTTGTGCTTTGCCTCCTGCCCAAGCTGTTCCAACAACTGCTGATATTTCTGCCGTTGCCAGCACTGCAGTCGCAGTAGCATCAGCAATGCTCCATACATCTGCTAGCAATTTAATCACCATCACGCTCAGAAAGTAACAAAGCAAGAGTGCTTGGAGCTCCAGTTCAAGTGCCTTCCTCAACTGGGATTTAGTACAGTGACAGCAGCCAGCAACCTGTCTACACTAGAAGTCACACTGTAACACTATAGAAGAGGCCATAGAAATTGTAGGAAAATAATAACTTCAAATATGAGACGCAAATGTTTTGCCTTTCTTCTAAGAGCTTCTGATATTCCTGTGCAGTTAGCAAGAAAAAGAAAAAAAAAAAAAAAAAAAAAGCTTTGGCAAAAGTAGGGAAGAAAGAAAATCCTTTTTCTAAATCTTTTACAGCAGGATTTATATTAAAATGAAAAGAAACGAGAAAAGACAGAATTAGGGTTTTTTCCCCTCAGCAAATTTTTAAGCTTCCACTCCAGGTTTTACAAATAACTACATTTTTAACTGGATGCATTACCAAAAATTGAGCATAATGCCACATTAAGAGTCTGCAGTGCACAAGCAAACTAACTTTTTTCAGTTTACAACACACTCATCAATATTTGTCTGTTTGATTCAGGCTTAATTTGCAAACATGCCCATGATCAGCTCCATGCTGCTGAGCAGTTCTGGGAACATTTTTGTATACAAATATAAGAAAACAATTGTTCATAGTTTCAGGGCACTATCACTATGTCCCTAAAGAATTTAGTATAGCACTTGTGCATTCTAAATTGGATAAGTCAGTATACTTAAAATTAAGCAAATGCTTCAGTGTTGTGCTCTATCAGGCCTTATTCCACAAATAGACTGAAAAAAAAACATCTCATTTTGAAATGCACATGGTGTAGCATGGACTACCTAGTAATGAGATCGTTTTTATTCCCTGACAGGGGGATTTCTGTAAATACTCAACACCTGAATCCTAAATTGGCTAATGTGGCCACAAAGGAAATTATATATTCAGCCAGATTTCCAACAAGCGTTAAAGCATCCAAGCCTAAAATACACTTTCACAAGTATTCATGCTAGAAACTTCTCATGTTCCAACCATGAGAGACAGCGTATGGAAAAGGATCATAAATAAAGCTGAATCCAAATTCACTTCCAAAAACAATCATCTGTTTGTGCTTTTCTCTCTTTACTAATAATTCAACTCTAACAATATAGTGGCTCAGGAAAAATTAAAAAAAATCCACCATGGGTATTTACTTAATTTCCCTCAGGCTCCTCTCCCACTCCACACACAAATCAAGAAGTAATTATTTTTTTCCTAGACAGATTTCTTTCTCTCATTACAAACCATGACAGTGATAATGCCATAATAGCAATAGAAACTACTGCAACTGTTACAACTGATGGAACCCTGTGGTTTTTCTTCAAAAAGATTTGCTAAAAGCAAGCAGCTGTAATAATTAAAAGAGTTTCCACTCCAGCCCTGATCTGAACATGAATCCTGGAAGGAAGCTGGGCTGTACCTGCTTGACACACCCTCCTCAACCTGCAACAAAAGAAGGCAGCAATTTCTGAAGGAGTAAATGCTCATTTATTTCCAGTGCTTACTCATGCCAGGTAAGGAGTGGGGGAAGGGAGAGAAAATTACCGAACAATTTGGCTTATCACTTTGCCACCTTCAAATTCTTGCATTTGACATTGCTTGCTGCTGTCTAAATTACAGGGGGGTTAAGTAGAAATAGGACATGGGTGCCGTGTTTAGTAGATGAAATGCTACCATTGTTTGAGGGTGGCTGGATACAGTGAGTGTTGTCATGAATCCCAATCCGTTTCCATGTGGCAGCAGATTTTTCCTCGTGGTTGCTAAGGCACAGCAAGCAGAGTTGGTTGGGAAGCTAGCTGACTTTCAGCAGATATCATTCATATGAAACCGTAGAATATGCCTGACTTTCTGCCAAATAATATTCATAACAAACAACCTTCCCCCACTGCTCCTCTTGAAACCTGCTGTCAGAATTCATAGATAATGAAGAAGAACCAATGGAACAGTTCTCTCCATTAATATTTATTTAAGATTAAAAATAAAACTCTTATAAAGGATCTTCTTTTTAAAGGAAAGATTTTCCCCTGATTATCTTAAACTTCATATACTTAGGTGTAGCATCAAAAGATGAAAAAGCTGTACAAAGATAAATCTGTATTCAGCAAAGCTTGCAATGTAAGGTTCCCAAGTGAGCCTGCAAAGCTCTCTGGAGAAACCCAAATGGGTCGTTAGTGAAAAGAAACCGAAGAGTGCAATGAATATGAATAAGTTATTTCACAAAATGGAAACCCACAACTCATGGTTCATTCTCACCTCCCTCAAAACTGAAAGAGATCTGTGAATAAAATGGTTGCTCTTTATAAAAAGACAAGCAGTGCTCTTTAGGTTTAAAGACTTACTTCTGAGACAGTCAGGAAAGCAATGCATTTAGAAGCATTTCTGTATTTTCCATTACCTGCCAAATTAAATATGGCTGAATGGGTTTATGCCTAAAACAAAACTCTTTTTTAGTTGATCTGGCACAAGCCATCCACTTTTAAAGTCTCCATAGTCTAGCAAGGAGTGTAATTTAGTGCACAAGAGCAAATTTTGATTGCAATGCCCATTTCTTTACCCAAAAGAAGTTAAGAGTAGAAAAGAATATCACAGGAGACAATACAGCAGGACTGCCTGGATGCTCTTCTCTGTCTTCCACAGTCCTACTATGGGAGAAAAGCCCTGGGTGAATCCGGTTTCAGGAAGGTACCAACACTGGCCAAAACCTCCTCTGTCCATAACCTGTGCTTCAAATAAAGTTGCAGCATCCTGACATGGAAGCCAACTCAGTTTGAGAGAAAGGGAGAAGTGGTGAACTGGCAGAGGGGGATACCTGAGTCAGAGAAACTTTATGTTCTTTAAAAAAAGGAGGCGGCCACTCTCCTTCTAATGATGCACTTTCATGACCAGATTAAAGTACCATAAACCAAGGCGGCTGACAAGCTGGTCATGTTCTCCCTCCACCAACTGCTTCACCTTCCCATCCCCAGCACTCTTCTGCTTTGTACCTCCATACGCATTTATCAAGCCATGTCCCGATCCAAACTGAAGGACCTGTATCTTTGAACTGGCTCGTTAAATAACAGTTCATTTTAACCCAGATTATTTCCCTCCACCAGGTCACTGGGGAGCCATACAAACACGATCTCTACCAAGGCAGGCAGCAGGGGCACAGGCAAAAGCAGTGGGACGTGGAGGGAGGCAGGAAGGGACAGCTGTGCTCAGCGGAAGCACTTGTTTATGCTGAATTCAAACTATCCAAGGAATGATGCAACAAAACACGCCTAATAAATTCTCAGCATCTATGCTCTGTCAACATAAAAAGGAAGTTAACTGTGCCCACAAAAAATGACAAGACAAAATTCAAAGCTGTCAGTAATGGGGCACTTTACCTCCCACCTTCATGTTCACCTAAATGCATTAGTTTAAGTAAAACAGAAATCCCATCTCATTTAACTCCATAGATCAAATGTAGACTGCATGGGCTACAGCCATAGTTTACAATATAGAAACAGATCTTAAACAAGTTTTCTCTTCTCTTTCTTAAAAAAACATGGATACTTTCAACCCACATGCTAGTACAGTGTTTGCAATGAGAATTCATTAAATATGAAAAGAAGAATAATAGAATTTTACTGCTTTTATCATGCTTTATATAACATTAAAATATGCAGAGTACACTTAATTTCTATTCGTGTTCTTTCATTAACCTCTGTATTGCAGTATTTGTACTCTAGTTTGCCATTTCAGCCACTCTTTTCCTAATGCTACCTTAAAAGCTTCCCAGTACATTTCACTCTTCCTGGCTGTCAGCAACATTTCACAGGAAAGCAGCATCCTCCCTTTTTTTCAGTACAAAACAGGCACTGTACAGACTGTCACTGTAAAAATTTAGCAATATTGATGCATTTATTTCTCTTAAAACAATAGACTGTCTTTGTAATCTACCATCATGTTCCTGGCCATCAGCATCTGGTTTGATCTGGAGGGTAGCACGCAAGAGCAGGAGGGTTGGGTTTTTTAGTGATCATTAAAATTTTATGCAATAATTAATATTTCTAATGGTGGAAGTTATAATTTAATAATACATTATTTGGAGCTTTCAAAAGAATGCGCACTGGATATTTCACACTATAATTAAAAAAATGTTCCCAGTGACAGGTTACCATTTCTTTTTTGATAGGTCTAAAGACATCAACAAAACAGTGAAAAAAGAATTGTCTGCATATGTGAATTGTCTGCATATCTTAAAAGCTTTACAAAGTACCTCTGTTGGCACATTTCTTGTGTTGCCAGCAAAATACCTTCTCACAACACATTTTCAAATAAAAAAAAAGAAATCAGGATGGCACATTGTCCTGATTTGAAGTGGGGGGGGGGGGGGGGG